TGACCGCCTCTGCCGCCCAGAAGAGTAGTGGACCCCCCCGTGGGGGGAGTCCCCCTCCCCCCATAACGGGGGAGGGTGCGCGAGGGCCCGCCCGTCAAACGGCGGGCCGGTGCGGGGGGCGTCCAGAAGTAATGGCTCTGCCAAGTCCTGGGCGTGAATGCACGCTTCCTTCGTCATCCGTGCTCACGGCGTATAAACAAGCTCCGAACGCTCGTTCGGACGCATCTCCAAACCCGAAGATATCGAACCTTGAATTGTTCCCGTATACTACCCTTCTGGGAACCTGCAACTCATTTATCTCTCGTAGATCGGCACAATAAGTCTCCCAGGCTGTCTTGAGTTCTTCTGGTATGACCTGGTCCCATCCAAGGTCGAGTTCCCATAAACGTCGCATGATTAGCTTGCCTCTCACAAGTAATGGTGCGATGAGTCCTAAGGGGTCGAATACTTGCGCGAGTCTCGATAATATACCCCTCTTCGTCTCTACTGTGGTATCCTGCTTAACGTGATACTGCAGACAGTCCAATGTAGCGTTCCAATAGAGGCCCAGCGTCTTCAAAGCTTCTTCCTTGTTAAGCACAAGCATTCTTTCCGTTTTGCATCCTTCCTCAAGATGTTGTAGAACCCGTGGCTCGTTAGTGCGCCACTTGCGCAAGTGAAATTGACCTCTCTTAAGTAAATCAGATAGTTGCCTTTGTAGCTCGATAGCAGTTGTCAATGAGTCACACCCTGAGAGCACATCGTCCATATAGCAGTCTTCTCTCAAAGATCTTGCTGCCAGCGGTAGGTCCATACCCTCCTCTTCGGCGAGCTGCATAAGACACTTCAGTGCCAAGTATGGGGCACAGGCTGTGCCATACGTTACGGTATTCAACTCGAAGGTTTGAACTTGCTCTTCGGGGCTTCTTCTCCATAGTATTCGCTGGTAAATTCGATCCTTCTTGTCCACCAGAATCTGTCTGAACATCATGGCTACATCTGCCGTCAGTACGTACTCATGCATCCTAAATCTTAGAATGATGTCGTTCAGTGCTCGTTGCAAGTTTGGACCAGCCAAAAGTTTGTCGTTAAGCGTAGTGCCGTACGTCGTCTTAGCAGACGCGTCGAAAACCACTCTTAGTTTCGTCGTCTCACTCTCTGGTCGTATCACCGCCTGATGTGGCAGAAAGTATCCTACCGGTTCCCCGTGGTCGTTCTCCTCGACTACCGAGGACATGTGACCTTGATCCTTGTAATCATCCATGAACCTTGTATATTCCAATTTCAGTGCTGGATGTTTTAAGAAGCGTCGCTCCTAATAAGAAGTCGCCTGAGCGCTGCTGCCCTGCTGTTTCCCAGGATTACCTCTGACCGCATCGGCAATCGCACTAGAAATCTTCCGTCTGGGTTCCTCTTCACTGTATCCGTGAAGTACCTCTCGCATTCCTCTTCTTCTGCTGTGTACTTCCGATCTTCTGGTATGCTCTCCTGAGTCCAGAATCTTTCTACTTGTTTACTTAGCATATCGTTGGTGACTGCCAAGCTTATGTTCGAGGAGTTGTTAAGCATGCCGTGCACCTCTCCACCGATAATCCATCCTAGTTTAGTGTTTTGCAATGCTGGTTGTCCTTCCAACCGATTTTTGGTCGTACCTGTAAGGATCTTCCAATATAACCCGCCGCCGATAAGTAAGTCAATATTACTGGGTTCATCAATATTTGGATCAGCTAACTGTACGTTTTTCGGAATGTGCAGTTTCCTCACATTGATTCTTCTTTGTGGTAACGCCTCCGTGATCGCTTTCAACACCAGGCATTCTATCGTAGCAGAAAATTCTTCCTGCGTGGACTCAATTTTGATCCTGCTTACCTTGTTAGCATTAGTTTGCGACTGATTGATTCCGCTAATTGGTCTGGAGTTCTTCGTGTAGGGTAGCTTATATCTTCGTACGAAGTCTTCAGTTATTATATTCGATTGCGAACCTGAATCCAGCAATGCTCTTCCGAGATGTCGGTTTCCATGGTCATCCACGATGTAAACTTTCGCGGTAGGCAAAATTACCCCCGTTGCTTCCATCTTTACGTGGCAGATATTCACTGCCGCTTTAGCTGCACTGTTCGTTGAGGCTCGAGTCTCATGTTCCCTTTGGGTCTCCTTGTGACCAGCTGTCGATTCCGTGTCAGAATAACTAGCTTCCTTTTTTGCATGTTCGGATTCCCGATGTAAAATGGTGTTGTGCTTACTTGAGCACTTTCGGCATGTCGATGACTTGCAATTTGATGCAGTGTCCTGTTCCTAAACAATTGATATAGAGCTTCTTGTCCTTGATCATCGTCAGTCTGTCTTGAACCGATGCCTTGAGCAATTCTTCGCACTTGTAAGCAGCGTGATTGCCCTCACAAATTTTACAATTCCCTGAAGTCGTTGTAAGACTGACCTTTCGTCCTTCCTTCTTTACTACTGGTGTCTTTGTATTCGTTACCCTTTCTTTGTTTTGCTTGAGCATCCGCAGACTGTGGCATCGCTCCGTTAAGAATTTCAGAAATTCTTCAAGTGTCGGCATATCCTGCGGTGTTTTCTTTCTAACAAGATGTTGCCAATCGCGTTGTTCTGCAAATTCCAAATTTTTCTTCGCCATATGTATGATGAGTGTATCCCATTGAGATGTCGGCTGGTGTAGCTTCTCCAGTGCCTTTATGTGCGTGTGAATGTGCCATACAAACTTCCGAATGGAATCCGCCTTATTTTCCTTTGTTATAATCGGGAAATCGAGCATCTCGTCCAAATGCGTTTCGAGGATCATCATCTGATTGTCGTACGTGTCCTTCAACAACTGCCACGAAATCTCGTAACTGTTATCTGTAATAGAGAATCCTTCTATTACCTGCCGCGCTTCTCCCTGAAGTACGCCCACCAAATATTGGTGCTTCTGCATAGGCGTCAGATAATCAACCTGGTGGATTGTCATCTCAAAACTGTTTTTGAAAAACGGCCATTGCGTGTATTCCCCTTTGAATTCCGGGAGTTTTATCTCTGGTAACTTCAACTCGTTCTTCCTATCGTCGTGTGACCTGCTTTCCCGTGGCGCGGCTTCTTGTCCATTCGCCAATTGCTGCTGTGCCTGCACTTGTGCTTGCATCTGTGCTTGTAATTCCGCTTGCTTCTGTGCTTGTAATTCCGCTTGCTGCTTGTTGCTCGTGTTGATAATTGCTTGAGCCTTTACCGCTGCCTTGAAGTAGCATTCTTCGAAAACTGTTCGTTCCCCTTAGTAGGATAGCTATAGGAGTTCTGGACCACTTGTGGAGGGGGAACCGGATGGACCTAACCGC